TTAATAAAACGGACGTGTTTTTAAAAGTCGCATGGGGGAATATGGCAGCGGCACGGCCAGAAAAAAATGAATCTGAACGGCGTTGCGAACTCGGGAAGAAAATATAGCAGTGCCGTCTGGTGTCTGTTGTCTTACACGATCACGGCTCGGGGCTTTATCTCGTTCGCCGAGAGGCAAGGGTGCGAGGTGCCGGCCTTCGTACAGTCACCGCTCTGTTTGTATTCGTAAATGCACCCTCTAATAATCATGGTAATAACCACGACTCTCACCTTAACCTCGAACCCAGCGAAAGGGAAACGAGATAATTCACGACGGAGATAAGGGCACTCGAACGAGGAGCCAATCCTACTTAGCAGCACACGGAGGAGGAGGAGGGGGGGGGGTGCGAAGGTGGAGACTGCTCGATTTGCATTTGTCGTTCGGCACGATTTTCGACGTTTCGCTCCGCGTGCTGGGAGTTTATTTAAGTGACAGGGTTGAATGGGGGCGTACAACCCAAAGAGCACACGGGGAGACTGATTGGTGTGTGTGTGTATATGCACGCTCGTCTCGGGGATTGGGGTGGAGCGGTGGCGTAACGGTTAGCGCACGGCCCCAATTAATCAGTAAGCAGTTTGATTCCGGGCCAATGTTAACAATAGTGGCAAGTGTTATGAAAACTGTTTCCTGGACTCTCCACTCTTATTATGATTATCATGCCCCTCGATAATACTGTTCCTATCATGGGACCTCCTTTTGCCGGTACCAAAGATGAGAATAGGTTTTCCCCTTTTTTCTGGCAACAAAACAGGTGTTGAGATATATTCTTGGTTCTTTCGGTAAAGTCACATATTTTTTAAATATTTGTATTATTTTATTGTTTCCCTTCTACGTGACTTTACCGAAAGAACCAAGAATATGAATCCCTGCAGTCACGAAAGCTTTAAATCAAAATTTTGGTGTTGAGATGTTAAAACACCAAACTGGAACCTTTTACAAGGAATCATGTCTGCATTAACCACTTAACTTGTGGTCAGAATGCAAACAAAAAACGTACTCTGATAATATATTGCCATTGTCTTTGAAACTGGTTGGTCCACACCAGAGACAGCTTTCTTTCGAGCCTATAGACTCAAACGGTGTTAGACCAGAGGACGCCAACAGGCTTCAGTTTGGTGTTTAACATCTTAACACCTGTTTTGTTGCCGGAAAAAAGGGGAAAACCTCTTCTCAATACTGTTCATCTGAGCCTTGAGCATTAACGACCAACCCGGGGAATCGTAGAGGTGTCTTATTATGGCTCTATGAGCCTCCTGAATTATCGTTGAGAGATAAGAAAAATCTAAATGTGCTTATTCTTGAGACGCATGAAGACGACATATACAGTACATTAAAATTGTTGTCCTAACGTTATAATGCCCTGAGGACAGTTAACCCCTTAGTGCCCTTCACTCTGGCTCCATTACATCTTGGGCAAACAGCACAGAGCGGAACGAAATCTAAAGCAGCCTTTGTCACTTCCAGTCAAAACAAACCTTCACAAAAACGTGTATTTATTGACTAAAGATGACTGAACCATTCGAGAGACAGCCTCGAGGCTCAGTGAGTCTTGCCTGATTAAATATATGGCATTAACATGATTAGAATTCGTATCATTGCCAAGTTGATATTTTTGACATCGAGGTTGCTGTGCACATACCCAAACGTCCAAATCGTCAAGCGGCCAGCAACAAACAGAACTGCAGTTTGCGATGTTATCCGTGGTCGGGAATCGAACTCAGATTGTCAGGTTCACTGTGCAGTGCGGTTATAATTGCCTAAACAGTGGGACTTTTCGCTTCTGCGTTTGGCCTATAATAGTTGTACAGTGTGTTGAACTTCTTTCCCACCGTACATAGCTAACCGTTGCTAAGCGGAGGTGCGGAGGAAGGACAACAAACAAAACACAAAAAAGCATTTCTAGTGAAATGTATTTTGAAATCTGGGTTTAAAAGTGCATAGCTCCAGTGGCTTCCTAACATCGGAAGGAAGAGACGTTCCAGACGGTCGCAGGAGCGCATCTGAAAGCGCGCGATGCGGTGGCCACCGTCTTTGTTCGATGGCCATTTAGCCAAAAGTTGTTACTGCGAGGATGGCCGGAGTTAGCGTGATGGTTTATGCTCCTTGATGAGATCAGCAAGGTATTGTGGTTCATTTATGATTTTACGGCAAGCACTATTGCGTGTAATGAGTGCGACCTTGTAATGTATTCGTTTGGCAGCTGGAATCCAATGCAGGTCGGCGAGCACCGGACACACGCGGTCGGATATTCCGGTACCCGTCACGACACGTCCCAAGGAATTTTATACACGCCGCAGCTTGGCAAAGTCTTTGTGCCAGACGTCCAGTAGAAGAGTGTGAGTTGCAAGAATCGAGCTTTGTCGATACCATGCTGCCCGCCTCCGTGTTGGCTACGTGGCGACTCAACGGTGGTCGATCGTGTCGTAGAGAACCCCTCCTCCCCCCCACCCCGTTAGATAGAAACACGCCCGAGAGGAGGGCCCCACCGCGGAGATGGAGCGCTGAAAGCAACTCGTGCGCGGGACCCTGATGGATTGTTCTATCGCGGGGCCACGAGGCACGGCAGCGAGCTGTGAAGGCCTTAGTCCCGCTGTGGATATATGCACGTTTAAGTTTCGAGTTAATTTTGTTGAACCGGGCCAGAGAGTTCACTACCCACCTGCAGGACATTCTCGATCGCAAGAGTGACCTTTATGGGGCGTCAGTCGGACAGTAGCGGGACGATGAATGCTATGGAGAGTCCCAATGGGGTCATTTGGGGGTTATTTTCTAATCTTGACAAATTTAGACAATTGATGATGATGATGGTCAGTTGAATGTCGCCAGTGATCTGCGAACGTTCCCCGAATGGACGGGGCGCTTGTGCGTGGCTCTGCTGGAGTCGGCCACGCTCCGTTGAAAATTGCCGTCGGCGAACTTGAATGTGAAGTTGGAAATCTGCGCTTTGTGCTGCTGTTGGATGCCTATGCAGAGGCAATATCGGACCAACCGGCCGAATATACCTCTGGTGAAGCCACAGTGAGCTCGTATCAGAGCGCACCTTGGTCAATGCGTGCACGTGTGTACATTCAACAGCTCTTTTTTGTCAATCCACTACTGGATGAGCGTGCTCCCCTCCCTCCGCCTCCTCAAACCCCCCCCCCCCCCCCACCCAATCGGTGTCGGTCGTGGGGGTTTGTTGGGCCATACTTCACCACTCTGGTCAGCGTAGGTTTGAAGAGGATGGGGATACTCCAGCCCAGGATCGGTTTCGGTATCATTCGCCAAGGATGGTTAGCCGTGGGCTGGAATCGAACTAAGGTGACCGGGTTCACAGTACAGTTGGCCTAATAACGTTGGCAACTCTCCATCCTCGTGCATATTTCTACGCATGCTTAAAACAACAATAGATGAAGGAATATTTCACAACTTAATACAGAATACGTTGACGATAACTTTACATTTCTTCGGATTATGGGTATTTACAATCAATGTATTGCAGTATTTTTGTTTACAGAAAGCCCATTGGCTCATAGGCCAATGGACCGAAACATAATTTTACTGACAATCTGAGATCCTGTTGGATTTTGTAGTTTAATAATACAAAAAAATATCTGCATGGTCCACCAACCCTGGCCTCCAAAGCACTGGATAACAGCCGCACGTATGGATGTCATTGACAATTCCCCCCCCCCCCCCCACCACCGCGCCTCCAGGCAATGCACCTAATTGTCGCTACTCATTTCAAATAATTCCAGCTGGCCCTCAGAGGCCAACCTCCCTGTTCCTGATGACGACCGCTTGTGTTGCGATCGAAACGTCGTGATATTTTTATTCACTTTATTTTTTTATTGTTATTATTTTTTTATTCCGTCTACGTGACTTTACCGAAAAAAACAGAGAATATTATCACAGCACAGGTTGAAACTTTGGTAGCGCCTCTCGTGGCACGGCAGGGGCCATGCGAAATCATCGCACGCCATCGCTCAAGCGAGGAACGGCATTGCTTCCCGCAATGCGTGCGCTGTGAACGTAACCATGGACATTTTAATCGCCGTTCCTGCTACCTTAAGGATGGTTCACGCACGTGCTGTGTACACCCGGAGCGGTGGCGCTGTGATTAGCGCACTGCGCTGTGAACTCGACGGTCTCAGTTATATTCGCGGCCGCGTCACCATCAGTGCCCCCCACCCACCCCGCTTTTGTCCAACACGCCTTGACCAACGTGGTGAAGTATGGTCAAATCATAACTCCCTCGACCAACGCGGCGTGAGGAGGCCTTTATTCAGCAGTGTATAGATCACGGCTGATGATGGAGATGACTGTATACGCAATCACACGTGTTATAACTCAACGTAGCTTTGATGGGAAATTATGAAGCAACTATTAAGGCGTTGGTGTAATAACGCCAAGGCTGTCCCTGGAGGTACAGGTATGGGAAGGCCTTCATCCAACAGTGGATAGATTGTGGCTGATTTTGACTGAAACACAATCACGCGCATGTGCCATGACGTAGATTCGGGTGGTCACAATTACTCTCACTCCTAGCCCCTCCCGAATCCTCATCGATCTCCAAACTGCCAACGTCTCTTCCATATTCCGTGCCTACAAGTTGAGTTATGGGGAGACCTTCATCCAGCGGTGGATAACGTCACGGTGTCAAGTGTAATACTTCGGGGTTAATTCTAGATTTGAAGCTTTCGTGACTTCAAGGATCCATACTCTTTGGTTCTATTCGGTAAAGTCACGTAGGTAAAAAATAAAACAACAAAAATCACGACGTTTCGGCCACAACACAAGTAGCCTTCACTTCGGGGTTAGTTTGAAGGCGTCGGGGGTCTACACGGGGTGATTTGCCCCAGGCCCCGCAACCTCCCTACTCCTGAGATGAATCCATTCAAAAGTCTGCGGTCTAACGCCTAACTCCTCACCCCACCCTCCACCCCCACGCAAACCCGCCCGCCCGCCCGCTGTGCCCGCAGGTAAAGGTATGGTTCCAGAACAGGCGAACCAAGTACAAGAGGCAGAAGCTGGAGGAGGAAGGGCCCGAGAGTCCGCAGAAGAAGAAGAGCTCCCATCACATCAACCGGTGGAGGCAGGCGACCAACCAAGGCAGCGGCGACGAGATAGACGTCACGTCGGATGACTGACACGCAGGCAGTGACGTTCCCCCAGCCCTCCGCACCCCCGGGAGGAGACGGAACGCTCACACGGAGCGCTGTACGTGGAGAGCGATAGAGAGACAGAATCGACGCCGCCGTGCCCACAGACTTTGCAAGACGCGCGTCCTGCTCGCAATTTCGCAGTTCTGCGGAAGCCTCGTTATCATTGTTATTCTCATCGCTCGTGAGACGCGCGGCTGTGGACAATTCGTGGTGATGTTGTTTCCTATTGCGAAAAAAAAGCCGTACCGGTACCGTTTATTCATGAGACACGCGTGCGTCCCGCGAGCATGGTGGGGGGTAGGAGGAGAGGGAGGGAGTGAGGATCAAAGCAACAATTTCCCGAGTCGGGCAGATGGGGGCAGTGTGTGATACGCGATGCAGCAAACAGAAAACAACAACAGGAGCAGCAGCCACCGTCCGCCTGCAATTACCCACCAGGGAGATGTCAAGAGGGAGAGCTAAAATGCCTTGTTGACGCCAGGCGCCAGTTGGAGGCAACATGCGTGCATTACATACGCACCGTTAACGCATACGCGCGTGTGTGTGTGGGGGGGGGGGGAGCGGTAGTGTAGCGGTTAGCTGCGCTTAGGACCCAGCGACCCGACTTCGAGTCCCGTTCACAACCAATAACCGTGGCGAACATTCGAATCGGGTCTGCGTCTCGTCCAGGCCGACTCGCCATCGAATGAGTAGCCTGGTGTGGTGTGTAAATATCGCCACGGGGAGACAAAGGTGGCCGGGCGTGGTGCTGGCTGGCCACCCATCCTCTCGCCTTCATAGGCGCTCTCTAAACATAACTTGGCACCGCATGACCCAGCAGCTTCTGTTTGGCCGGATAGAGGGGGCTAAACGGGCACGGCACGGGCTCGAGAAGAGATATGGAGTGATGTGGTACAGAAAGATGTGGAGCTGATTGGACTTGCCGATGACTGCTGCCAGCGGTGTCAATATCGGTCAATGTATCACGGAGGGCGGATGGGCGACGCTCACAACAACGAATGGAGCGCCGGGCGGATAAAACGCAGCAAGTTGGCACAGTGTGGAGCGCTCAGGTGGCGCATTTGCCAGCCATCTCAATCAGTCACCCAATGGCACCTGGGTCGCTCCCGTGACCTCCTGCAGCCAGAGAGCCTTCGACACACTCCACGTGGCCTCGAGGTGTAATACCTAGCCCGTCACAAGCGCCGTTGTGACGCCATCGCCGCTATTGTGGCGAACGACGGTTGTTGTTGTTGTTGTGTGCGTGGGATCGATGTGGCACAGCGTTATAAAGCGAGCGCGCCTGGCTGAGATCTGTCGAACCGCACGCGCGCGTGTGTGTGTGGTTCTTATATTTTTGGTTGCCCTACGGCAGGGATGGGGAACCTTTTTTCTGCCAAGGGCCATTTGGATATTTATAACATCATTCGCGGGCTATACAAAATTAACAACTTAAAAGTTAGCCTGTTATATTTGGTCAAACATTTAATGAACTCACCCCTAATGTGATGGCTGGAACTGTTTCTCTTTGGTGAGGCGTGTGGTGATGTTAGCCGGTGTTGATGATGTTGCTACTCGCAACTGCTTTGCCAGGTTTTCTCCTAGATTTATTGAATTCCGAGTCCCGCCTGCGGTTGCCTTGGCAGGGCCACACCAAATAATTTCGCGGGGCCTTAAACGGCCCGCGGGCCGCACGTTCCCCACCCCCTGCCCTATGGAACCGTGGTCACGTCGAAAGAGGAAAAAACTTTGTGAGGCGCTGCTCAATTAAGCGGAACGTTGCAGGCCCGTGAAAATCTGGAGACATCGACGCGGGTTCAAAGGGAAGGAATACAAAAATATAATAATAATACTCTTGCAACCTGTTCTGTGAGCAACGTTGTCCAAGAGTCGTGCGCGCGGATTTCGAAGCGTCGCATTAAGCGGCCGATGATGTCCCCCAACTCCTAACCCTTCCCAAAATGAACCCCACGCAATCGTTTATTGTTATTATTGTTATCGACGCCGCCATACGCGCGGCGAGATAGGTGTTTTGCTCCAAGTGGATTGTAAAGATAACACGAGATAAAATTATTTAAGTCCGTTTTTAATAAATTGTACATACGTTATACTGTAACTTGCATCGATTGTTTACGAACCTGTGTTTCCATGTCAGAGTTAGGTCTATCTAATTATATATGTCGACTTTTGCCTGTGATGTGTGCAAATATTAAAAGTACAAAAAAATAAAGTAAATGATATTGTGCATGAAAGCAACCCCCACCCCCGCCCCCCACAAAAAAATTCCCCCTCCACCCACTCCCTCACCCCTCCCCCCCAAATCCCCCCCTGCCCCCACTCCCTCACCCCTCCCCCCAAATCCCCCCTGCCCCCACTCCCTCAACCCTCCCCCCATCCCCCCTGCCCCCACTCCCTCACCCCTCCCCCCCATCCCCCCCTGCCCCCACTCCCTCACCCCTCCCCCCATCACCCCTGCCCCCACTCCCTCACGCTTCCCCCCAAATCCCCCCTCCCCCTGCCCTCACTCTCTCACGCCTCCCCCCATCACCCCCTCCCTCGCCCCCTCGGTTAGAGAAATCCCAGATGACTTGATTTTTTGATGATTTTTTTTATTTAAAAAAACACTCCGCGACCTTTTTTTAGTGTTCGACGTCCGTTTGGATTCGCGACCTCATGAGTTGTGTGGACGCGATCGATTGTCATCACAATAATTTATATGGGATATTGGCTAACGAATTTAAAATAAAGACTATACTTGTTTTTTTATGTATTTATATTCGTTTGTATCTGTTGGTATGCGTGGTGCTGACTTTTGCGTGGTTTTAATTCGATTAGCTCACACAGATGTACGGTATATTAGACGTTTCAAGTATACGTTTAATAGATACGTGGCTTGATCCCACGCGTATATTAAACGCACTTGGGATCGATAAGCAACTGAAGATCTCTGCACCGGGGATGGGAAAATGTAGCATGAAAAATCGACGGGCTAGCAATGCAGTCACTATAATAATTCTAATTTAGAAAGCGCATACCATTCTAGGATCTTAATGCACAATGCATGGCAAGCAGGAATCAAAAACAGAACCAGGGGGCAATCGACCAAACCGAAGAGGGAAGGCCACTTTAAAGAGATGGGGGTTTCCAAACCACACTTAAATATATCTCACAGACTCTGATTGCCTGATTTCAAGTGGCGAGGCGTTCCGTGGCTTGGGTGTCACGCGACAACAAAAACACCGATCGCCAACAGAGCGCAGCCCAGACGAGATGGGTTTGGGGAAGCGCTACCCAAAGCGCCTCTTCGACGTCGTTTCCTTTTCAGGAAGCTTCAACAAACTCGCGTGGGAGAGCCGCTGGATACGCAGCCCGTGCGCCGTGGCTTTTGGATCGCAGCATTAACTACGGCGAAGAGAGGGGGGGGGGGCTGAGGAGGGAGCGGTGGCGCAGTGGTTAGCGCACTGAGCTAAGTACCCAGATGATCAGAATTCGATGATTCTATTCCAGGAAGCAGCGGCTAACATTGGAGGCGAGTGTTACCTCAATCGGCGCTGGGCACACCTTTTAACGCACCTCCAATGAGCACGGTTGGCTACGTATCAATAAGCAGATATCGAAAAAAACCATTGGTCCAATGCTCCATCCTACCCGCCCGTATTTGTCTCTCGACGTTCAAAATCGATTATTTTGTTACACGTCATCGGCCACACGGCCTTCCGCGAGTGCATGAATATAATACGAATGTAGCCGGCCAACGACGCTGGCCTTTAACGGCACTTTGCAGGGAGCCACGAGGCATTTTATTGGCGGCGAGGCGCGTGTGAGCGCACGGAGGGCGTGGAGAGAGATACAGGGAGAGAGAGGTGTGGCTTGGACTCTGTAATTGTTTATAACATGAGTCGATAACATTATCAGTTCGAAACTTCACCACGGCTGACGTCAGTCGCGAATGGCATAACAAGTGGGGGGGACACGGGGGGGGGGACACACGGGGGAGGGGGGAGCAATTGCGCAATGGTGAGCGCACTGCGCCGCGATAAGGGGTCGTCCATAAATGACGTCCCGCACCTAGGGGGGTCAGACATTTGTGACGATGTGTGACGAGGGGGGGGGGGGGTGAGAAATGTGACGTCACATCAAAATGCGCAACTTTAAATATATATAGACAACACGTTCTACTTTATTAAATATACTTTTTAATGAAAGTTTTCTCCTACAACGCCAGAGTGCAGCGGCACATTAAATACGCACTACAATGACAATAGTTCAAAGCGATTTGAAGCATGTTTTATTTTAGGAGGGGGGGGGCAGAGCTTTGTGACGTCATATTTGAGGGGGGGTCTGACTTTTTGTGACGCCGTGTGACGAAGGGGGGGTGGGGGGCAAAATTCGTCTAAAATCGCGTGACGTCATTTATGGACGGCCCCTAACCCAGCGAACCTGAGTTGCATTCCCATCCACGGCTATCATCGGTATCCGAACGGCTCCTGCCTAGCGCGACTTGTATCAACCCGCGCTAACCAGTGCGGTGACGCAGGGCGGCCCTACAGCTGACTGGCCACGGGAATGCCTCGGATCGGCGTGACGAGGACCGTCATCGTCCTTCTGGACACGTCGAGTCTGCAACCGGAGTGTTAATAACACGGCACCTTTTGTTGTTGTTGTTGTTGTTGTTGTTGCCAGTGTCAAAGTATGAAAAAGTAAGAATAGGTTTGACCCTTTCTGGCAATAAAACAGGTTGTGCAACAATACCAGTGTCCGGTCAGTTGTGTGGCCACAAGTGACGTCATCGCATCTACCCAGCTATTTAAGGAAAGAAACAGGAGGACTCATCCACAAATCTGGCTGTCGCCTGATGAAGCTAGTTGTGATTGCTGGCGAAACTTCGTGCTCAGATTGTAAATGTTGTGGCTTGGCTCTCCAACACACCGGTGTGCTGTACTAGTGACGAATTGGCCACGTTCTGTTTACGTGACGACCCTTACTAGTTGGCCGTGTCGGGCGGTGGTGGGTTTAACGACTCGTTTATGTATACGCAGTCTAACCCAAAGAACCCTATATTATAGGTGTTAAGATGTTCAAACACCAAATATAAACCTTTTGCAAGTAATCAAGTCTGCATTAACCACGCGTACTTGCGGTGAACATGAAAACAAATGTTCTGATAATAATATATGGCATTGTTTTTTAAACTGATTGCTCTACACCAGAGTTAGCCTTCTTTAGGGCCTGGTCTCACCAGTGTCAGACCAGAGAACGCCAAAAGGCGAACAGAGTATACGCGAACAGAGAACCCCTTTTGGCTTTCTCTGGTCTGACCCTGGTGAGACTAGGCCCTAAAGAAGCCTGTCTCTGGTGTAGAGCAATCCGTTTCAAAGGCAATGTCCATATATTATTATCAGAGCATGTTTTTTGTTTGCATGTTCACCACAAGTACGTGCGGTTGATGCAGACGTGATCAATCGCAAAGGGTTTTTGTTACTTGGTGTTTGAACATCTTAACACCTGTTTTATAGCCAGACAAGGGTAGAACCTATGTATTCTAAACCTAATAGCTTTGTCATCGTTGGCGCCATCTCCACATCGCGCCCGAAGCTAAACACGAAACTTTGGCACCTCCGTGGAATAATAGACCCATTTATTTCTGTCGGGTACAGGGCGAACACATTCATCATACTTGAATCACACGTCAAAACTCAGCAATCATCCGTATGATTAGCCATGGGTTATAGGTCGTAGGAGGCCATGTGCTGTTAGCGAGCACCTATTAAAACAGACGCCATCACAGAGGCAGAGTGGCGTGGCCGCTTCCACGCCGGACCGTCTTTGTCTTCCTTCTCCGGCGCCAAGGCGCTGAGTCCACCTGCACGGCGAGGCTCATCATGAGTTCATATGTTCACGTGTACCACGAATGTATGTATGTTGACCTTCTTTCGCACCGTCCGTAGTCAACCGTGCCAATTCGGAGGTGGTCTGGAATCGAGCAGTTGCACGATCCACTGAATGAACCGCTGCTTCTTCATACAAAGACAAATATCCCCACGTATAGCCTTTTTTTTACTCCTGGGATAAGTTCTGTTAACGAGAACGTATTAAAACGATTGAACGGCACGGAAGATGCGTGGTGTGGTCCAGAACCGTGCCCAGACACCTTTGTTTACACACCGCATGAGGTACTCAATTTAAGGCTGAGCCGACCTAGGGGAAGGGCCAAGGATCTGGTTCAGACGTCAACCATCCACCGACGTGAGCCGTCCCCGGCAATCTATACCACGTGGCACGCGGGGTTGGTGACGCAGTGCGGCGCTAAACCACGACGCCACCGTCTCCCCAAAGAAAACACAACACACACACACAGCCACAACAGACAAAGGTCCCCCGTATAGACATGCAGACTGTGGGAGACAAGTGCTGTTAGTGTCACGAGTCGGTTGAGTGGCCAACACCACGTCCGGCCGCCTTTGTCTCGCCAGTGCCGATGTTTACACACCGCACCAGGTACTCATACAGTATATAGAGAGGGTTAGGGTTATATACATATCAGATTGTGAATTGAGGAGTGCGGAAATGAGCGCATGCATACCCGAATCCCAGGTGAGAATGTATTAAGGAAAGTGGTAATGATGTTAATGGTGCTGTAGTCGAGCTATTAATCCCAAACGCCCATGAGTTTGGGGTTGCCCAAACATTCCGATGTAGGACGACTCATGAAGCAGGGCTAAGGCCTCAGCGAGGCTTTCCTGCAGGATTAACACGTGGCACTATTATTACTATACCTACATCGCGAGGAGCGGTGGCGCAGCGGTTAGCGAACCCGGCGAACAGAGTTCGATTCTCGGCCACGGTATAACATCAGTGACGAGTGATATCGAAACCAGTCGTGGCCACCACTTCTTCGCCAACTTGCATTGACCGGCGTGGGGAAGTATGGTCAAACAATCTCTTTGACCAAAACGGCGTGGGGAAGGCTTCATCGTGAGAGTTGGTCGGATAGGTTTGGCCCCAGCACCGGGTCGGCTATCACTTGCCACTGATGTTAGCCACGGTCGAAAATCCAACTTATGTCGCTGAGTTCATGACACAGTGTCCTAACCACTAAGCCACCGCC